TGCTCAATCATGTCCGACTCTTTGTGACCCCATGGACTTTAGCCCGCCAGGCTCCCCTGTCCTTGGAATTCTCCAGGCAAGCGTGTTGGAGTGGATTGCCATTCCGTTCTCCAGAGGATAGTGACCCTTTGGCTATTGTAGCAGGAAATCTCTTCCTTCCATGCTCCTGCGTTCTGTGGCTGGGGCACTGGAAGCTAGACTGAGGGAAGGCGGCCGAACAAGAGGGAACCAGGGTTCACTGCCAAGTGCAGCCGGGCACACGGAGCGCTCAGAAGGATGAGCGCTCAGAAGGATGGGCAGGGCTTGGGCTCATGGAGCATCTTGACAAAGGACAACATGTCTGCCGAAAAAGGGGAGAAGAGTTGGGGCTTTTAGGCGCAGCAGGCTTGGGAAGTAAATATATGGTGTGTTGGGGGGGGGGGAACTAATGGAAGGTGAGGGTTGTTTCTGTGAGTTTTTTGAAGTTTTTATTTTATATTGGAGTGTACTTGACTTACAGTGTTGTGTTAGTGTACCACAAAGTGATTCAGTTACCTTTACACGTATACCTGTTCTCTTTCAAATTCTTTTCCTGTTGAGGTTATTCCAGAATGGCGAGAAAAGTCCCCTGTGGTGTATAGCAGGTGCTTGTTGGTTTACTGTTTTATACACAGTAATGTGTCCACATGTCAGTCCCAGACTCCTAATCTGTCAGTGAGGTTGTTTGCAGACACATCTCGGCGCCGACTTTGACTTCACGGCCTCGGGGCTTGCCCGGAGAGGGGGTTTATGGCCCTCTCCACTCCTCGGGAGTTTCTGCTTTTCGGCAGGTGGAGGGGCTCTGAGGAGGCTGCTTTCTGCATCTGCTGATCCTCCTCTGCCTCCAGATGAAGATCGCCCCTGTGCCAAAGTGGCCTTTCTAGGGGCTGGCAGACTCCTATCCCCTTCCAATATATCCTAAACTTTACATCTTTATAATATTGCTTATGTTATTTTTGATATGAGGAGATTTTAAATAAGTAAAATGAATAATAACTCAGGAGTAACAGACCCACTTATAAAATCCATCATCTTTTCCTTGGGTAATTTCCCCTCTTTTAGTTTTTATCCATAGGGAGCCCCTCTTTACCTCAAAATTGGATAAGTAATCTGTTTCCATCCGTCTTTTTTTATGTTCTTGTTTGCATTTCACTTTATCAGAGTTTTCATTATTGCTGAAAATAAGATTCTTTTCCTCCCGTCCCATTTATTTCCCATCTTCTTTAGAAATTTCATTAGTTTCCTCGATGAATATTTCTCTCCTCTGGCAAGTCAAGCAATTAGATTTATTCCTTAGAAAGTAATATCAGTTTTCTTTCTTTCAGCTTATCCTTGAAATGTATAGGTAGGTTAAACAGTCTACCAGATGTTTTGTAACTGCTGCCTTAAAAGAAAAAACCATGGGCAGCTAAGATTGAGATCACATTCTGGGGTCAGTTCCCTAACTGAGGACCATCCCTGGTCCTGGAACAACAGCAAAGAGAGCAAATGTCAGACTAGAAAACGGGGCCGTGACGTCTCCACTTCCACGGCCTTGGCAGGCTCGCTGAAGGAGTGACGCAGGGCTAAACTAGAGGACTGTTCCCGCCCTTGTTGAGGCAGGGAGTGGGTTTGAGGGGTTAATGCGTGGAGACCCCGTGTGAGTTCAGGGGTGGGGAGCCCAGGGAGACGGGTCGTGGAACCAGCACTCAGAATTCCCGGGCAGCTGAGGGCGGGCTCCCATATTCCCCCACTTCACTCTCTTCCTAATTCAGTCACCCCGGAAGTCAGCTTCAGGTTACCGCGGAAGGTTATTTTGAGGGGCAGATGACCAGCTGAGCCCCAGCCACGTGGGAAAGCTTAGCAGTAGGGCAGTCCGGAGGTGGCGTTTTCCAGCCCTCCCCGCAGGCCCGCGCAGCAGAAGGGTGGCGCGTGAACCCCTGCAGGTTCCCATGAAACAGGCTCTCTGCAGAGCGGGTGGGGTGGAGCGGGTGCTGGCGCGCTGGGGGCAGAGAGCACCCCTGGGCGTTGGAGATTGATTGGTGATTGGTGTGGGGGCGTGAGAAGAGGGAGGTGATAGCGGGTGACCTCCAGGGACGAAACCCATGCCCCTGAGTCCTGGTTTTGCACAGTTTAGACTTTCTGAACATGCCTTTGCTTGGTGAAATGACTGATTGCTGTACCCTATTTTTTCTCATAGTTTTGTCTGTGTTTGTTTTTGGCCGTGTTGGGTCTGCAACTGCTGCATACAGACTCTCTCTAGTGGGGTGAGCAGTGGTCTGTCGTTGCACGGGCCCCAGGACCCGTGGGGCTTCAGTAGTTGGGGCTCATGGCTCAGCACTTGTGGTTCCTGGACTCTAGAGCCCCAGCTCAGTAATTACGGCTCATGGGCTTAGTGGCACGTGGAGTCTTCCCAGACCAGGGATCGAACCGTGTCTGCCACATTGGCAGGGGAAGCCTTTATCGCTGAGCCACCAGGGGAGCCCAGCCATGTCTTATTGGGAATGGGGCAACTTTTGGAAACTTAAGTGACCTCAAGGCTTCCTTAGACTCCTGAAATCCTTCCCGAGATTGTAGCCCCTCTGAGCATACTTCATTCTCATCAGATGTGGAGGTCAGACAAGAGATCCCGGCCCCACCCGCCTGGTTTACAGAATGTGCCTCCAGGGGGGACTCCAGGCTTTGGGGTTATCCAGCAGACCCCAGGTGGGGGGTCTTTATCTTGAGGAGCTTGCAGGGGTCTGGGGCGGTTTTCTTGTTGACTCAGAGATGCTGTCTGCCCTGGCACCTGGATGAGGGGGTCAGGGCGCCAGGTGGCTGCCTTGTCCTGGATCCCACCCCCGGGGTGCGGGCCGTGGCCTCAGCAGGCCGTGCTGACCGGCTGCCTCCCCCTCCTGGCCGCGGAAGAGGGCCTGTCTCCTCCCCGGGTCAGTTTTCTGCTCCCACCTTGCTAATTGACGGAGGTTGCCCTGGACATCTCTGTAGGTAGCAGCCGGATTGGGCGGTGGCTGCCCAGGGCCAGGTCGGGTTGTGGTTCGGAGGCTCGAACGCACACAGTGGTGGTAGCCCCCCGCACCCCCCTTCTCAAATGCTTCTGTCCTCTGTTGCCTCCTGGCCAGCTCCCACAAGCAGCGTGTGCTGCGGGCATCACTGGACCTCAGATCAGCTCCCAGTGGGACGTCTGGGTGGAGACCGAGGGCAGAGCGGGCACCTGGTGCCCCAGCCTCGCCCTCCCCCAGCAGCACCTGGGACAGGGCGTGCCCTTCCCCTGCCAAGCGTGTGCCTGGTGGAGGTGCGGGGAGCTGCCACGGCACTGGGCTGCGACGATCACAGGGGCTGCCAGCCTCTCCTCGGCCCGCGGGGCCAGCTGGGCGGGGAGATGCAGCTAGTTCCCCGTGGATCGGTTACCTTGTGAGCCACAAGGAGAGAAGGGAAAACAGCAGGAGCAGCCTCAGAAGGCAGACAGCGGGGCGGGGGGTACAGACTCGACACAGGCCGGCGCGTCCCGGGCTGTGACTCACAGGAGGGCAGAGAGGAGAGAAGACCAACAGCCTCCAGTCGAAACCAGGAGGGCAAAGAGTCGACGCTGCCCTGCTCCTGATGCTGTGACTCAGCAGCGCTTCAGGCTGCGTGTCCCAGGTTAGACGTGCAGGGTGCGCCGTGGAAGGTGTTTGTTGTTACAAATACGTTTGCTCCTAGAAACCAGGTACACGTGAGTTTGGTTTTCCAGGCTGGCCTCCAGAAGCCCCCTTAGCTGCCCCTCCAGCCCCGCCCGGCGTGTTCCCTGGAGACTCTGACCACCCCCTGCACTCGGGGGTGTGTTGTTTGAGCCACAGCCTGGGAAGCTCATTCACCTAATTCGAATGGGCAGGGTTGTGGCCGCCCCCGGGCAGGCTCGCGGTCACCTGGATGGCTTGTTAAACCACCTCGCCGCACTTCCTCCAAAACCTCCCATGGGGTCTGGCCCGGGCCCAAGAATGAGCATTTCTGACGCCTTCCCAGGTGACGCTGCTGCTGGGTGTCCCTGAGCAGACATGGGAGGACAGCAACCCGGTAAAGAGCCCTTGAATCCGAGTCATTAATGATCAGCTTGTGAGGCCAGCGGTGCCCGGCCCCGGGTGTGTCCAGGGGATGGCGTCACAGGCGGCTGGTGCCTCCTCCGCAGAGTCCGGTGCAGAGGCGCGGCTCTCCCCGAAGCCCATCGATGTGGAGACCCCAGTTGTCTGCCCCCTCGGACCCAGACATCAGCTGCCCTCGGACTGAGGGCTAGCCCTCACCTGTGCTCCTTGTGGACACACGTCACTCGGAGGGAGCGGACGTGTGTTTTTCTCCCACTTCTGCCAAAGCAGGAGGGAAAGATTGGAGGGCTGTTTCCTATTTTTTTTTAAATAATAAAGCTTATATGTAAAGCTAGTCTAAAAGTTGTGTGCACCAACTGATTGGCTTTCTCTCCAAGTAGAGTAGGTGGCTGTAGCCTGGAACATAGGAAAACATGTGTGGCATTGACAGGGAGAATGTAAGACTGCTTCAAGTGGCTATTTCAGCATTGACCGCTAACTGTCTTAACTATTAGGATGACTTGTGAAGTTTGGGGGGTTTCCGGGCTGGAAACGCAGAACTCGCGCTGTTGTGACCCGCTGTGCAGAAGCCGGCAGGGGCTTCCCACCGCGGGGCGTGTGCTGGCCGTCAGTGCCGGGGGACACCTGGCCTTGCTTCCCCGCCCAGATGGAGGGAGGACCCCCCCCCCAGATGTCACGAGGGCACCAGACCCTGCAGACTTCTGTCCTCTGCCCCAGACGAAAGCATCACACCGCCTTCTGTGGCCAGGTGATATTTCCCGTTGTTGGATTCTCCAAACCCTGGAGAAACGCCCAGTGGTGCGTGTGGCGCAGCCTGTGAAGGGCGTCACGACCCCCGCCCGCAGAGATGCGTGCTCTGTGATTGATGACGCTGGCCTCTGTGTGCCTTCCTCTCTGACCTGTTTTCTATTTGCCCCTCTCTAGTGGGATCTTGTGTGTGATAATGCCTGGAAGGTCCATGTCGCTAAGTTCTCCTTACTGGTTGGATTAATCTTTGGCTACCTGATAACTGGATGCATTGCTGACTGGTAAGTACCCACATGCCTGCCACACCACAACCCCCCGGAGCCTCCCGGGGCATGGTCGGCCTGCCAAGGCTCCCCCTGCCAGCCCTGGCACTGGGGCCAGAGATGACGGGGGCAGCCACCCCCTGCAGAGTTCAGACAGAGAGAGCTGGCCAGTGCCCAGAGCAGACCCTTTTGAAGTAAGGATTTAAATTCATTACAATTCCCTGGCTGCTAGAATCTAGCTAAACCAGCTTGGAGCCAGCCGCCCATCTCCTGAGAGAGCGAGGTTAGAAAGAGCCTGGGAACGGGGCTTCAAGGCTTTAAGGGCTGGGCCCTGGGTAGGCATAGGCAGACCAGGGGCCTCTAAAGACAGGGAGAGGACAGCCAGAATCGTCACACTCGAGAACTGGACAGACGCAGGCAGATCTCAGAGAGGGACCGTCCCTGTAAGTTGGCTTGGCCAGGGGATGCTTCTGCAGCTCCACAGGGAGCTGGGCTTTGAAAAGTGGGCGGCCTGTGGGTGGTGGCTGGGCAGGGCAGGCAGAGGGGTGGGGACCGGAGACAAAAATAAATGTGCTTTCCTTGGGCGGGTGAGGGGCCAGGTGAGGCTTCCAGAGTGAGCGAGAGGGTGGTGGGATGGAGACTCGGGTCGCCGTGGCAGGAGTGACGGCGTTAGCAGCCCGCCCTCACCGACGCCTGTGTGGCCGGACTCTGTGCTGAGTGTCTCTGTGGATTAAAATAGCCCCTCCGCACAGTTCCCCTGTTTCCCAGGGGGAAACTGGCATCACCCCTATCTCCTGGGGAAAACTAGAGGCACATGCATTTAAGTAAAATCCCCGGATGCCCTTGGGTTGGATAGCCGGCATTTGAAACTAAGCTTCTCGTGGCCCCAGAGCCGGACGCCACAGACGTGGACTGAGTCACAGGGCTTGTGTCGGCAGTGGGGACTTGCCCGAATAGCATGGCCGTGGCCCAGCGCTGCTGGGGCTTGCGGGGAACAGGGCTGCCGAAGAGGAGAGGTGCGGGGACCCCTCCCCGCTTGATGTTCTTTCTCTTTAAGGGACTTTATTTACGAATCAGGGCCTCTTGCATCCCAGACTTAATAAAGCCGGCAATGATGCAGAGCAGGCTCCTCGAGGCCGAGGTGTGCCCTCTGTCCTGGTCGCCTGAGACCGCTGGCCGGCGCCGCGGGAAGTGCCCGCGGTGGGGAGCCCAGGGAGACCACTTTCAAGTTCTGGAAAGTTCTTACCCGAAAGCTGACATCTAACTGGGTGTTCCCTGCCTTAACATGAAGTGCGATTGCCTATGTGTTCAGAATTTGCTGAATCATCATCTGTAAGTGCTTCTTAAGGGCATCCTCCCGGGGCAGGAAGACAGATGCTGGGAGTGACCTGTAGAAACCCACAGACGCCCTCACGTGGGGTTTGGTGGTGGGTTTTTTTGGGAAAGGGGAGGGACCAGGATTGGAAAAGGATGAGGATTTCAGTTTTTTTTTTTTTCCCAAACCAAATACTTGAACTTTTAAAGGTTTTCAGAGTGAGCTATACTGACCTAAAAGACACTCCAATTCCAATGTTTTAACCACAAAGAATTTTGTTTCCCAGGAACCTACACTGAAATAGGTTGGGAATATAAGAGTAATATAACCACCTCACTTCTTCCTAAAAACACGGACTTGACTAAGGTCTTAGTGTCCTGATTCAGTGATTTAATAGGGAAAGTAAATGCAGACTTCACCCAAGAGATCTGCAGTGGTTTTAAGTTGTTTCCAGGTGGTTTTGTGGTTTCTTAAGCCTTGCCCATCAGTGGTGTTCAGCCTCCCTGATCACACAGTGGCCCCGGGGATCAAGACGGGAGAGTTTGGGGTCTTCCTTGGCAAGCAGCCAGGGGCTGAGGTGAAGCCCCTTCTCCAAGGCCATGGGGGTGGGGGGAGTGGGCCAGGGGTGCCCAGAAGGCCAGGGCAGGTGGCTTATGCTGCTGCTTTCTGGACATTCTGAGCGGGCCCCAGTTCCAGTTTGAAGGTTTGGTATTTTCCGCCCTTGACTGATTTACTGTTAGCATTTTGCTCCCTACTGGAGCCTTGCTTCAAAGAAGATAAACACATAGAGAGGGAAGCCCGGGTTTCACAGCTGCTGGCACCATTCCATGGCCGGGTCGGGAAGCTGACCAGGTCGTAGGTTATGCCAAGACCCCAGTCAGTGTCTAGTGAAGCTTCAACTGCATGGTTTTTTGTTTTTGTTTTTAAAGGTGACTGTTTTGCACACACGTTCAGTCTGGGCTGGACAGCATGTCCTGTCAGGCAACGTGTTAGTCTGGGAGGAGGATGGGGGCCAGCTCGGGCAGTGGCTGTGGCCAGATGACCTCGCTCCCTCTCTTGCTGGGTCTTTTGCTGGACTCCGCATGTTTCTCATCCTGCCGGTCCTGGGAGGCAGTGTATAGGCTGCACCACAGACCCCTTCCCTCTGGCTCTGGGCTGAGCTTGGTCAGTGGCAGGGAAGGAGTTTTTCCCAGCTTCTAGAGACTCCCCCGCGATTTCCAGGTGGCTCAGTGGTGAAGAATCTGCCTGCCAGTGCAGGAGATGCAAGAGGCGCAGGTTCGACCCCTGGGTCAGCAAGATCCCCTGGAGGAGGGCATGGCAACCCACTCCAGGATTCTTGCCTGGAGAATCCCATGGACAGAGGAGCCTGGCGGGCTGCAGTCCACGGGGTCGCAGAGTCGGACACGACTTGGCAACTAAACAACAGCAGAGGCCCACCCATTCCTTGGCTCCGGCCCCACTTCTAGTCGAGCCCACCGTAGCTGGCCAGGTCCTTCTCCTGAGACCGTCTCCCTGGTTCCATGCAGCCAAGAGCCCTTCACTTTGACCCCATCTGCAGAGCCCCTTGTGCCGTGAGAGGCGGCACAGCCTCTGGGGGTTAGGACGGGGACGCCCCCAAGGCCGATACTCTGCCCATCACAGGTCCTGGCTGCCCGACGACGCCTCTGCATCACAGATTTGGGACTGTGAATTTACTGGTCATCTGGTGGGAGACCTCTGCTCTGGGGAGAGCCAGGGCCCACTTGAACCCCAGGGGCTTCTAAACACGTGCACGCATCTACATCCACTGGCCCTTCCCGAAGAGAGCCTGAGGCTCACGGGACCCAGCAGATCTTGCTTAGGACCTCCGTCCCCAGGGAGCCTAGGTCGGGGCCAGGGCTCTGACTTTGAAGACCATGTTTGCCCCCCATTCCTAATATAAATTTTCACTTAATGAATTTTAGCAGCCACTTGGGAGGGAAAGATTTAGAATTGTTTCTACAAGTTAAACAGAAATCCAGGATCTTCCCTAAGTGTCAGGACAGACCAGACGGTGTCCGGTGGGTGTCGGGAAGGCCAGACCTAGGAAGACCCGCGCTGCTCGGCGCCCAGTCTGTCGTCCTGTTAGTGATCTCGACACTCTGCGGTGCGGGACAGACAGGGGAGCAGACGGAAACAAAGAGGGATAAGTTAGACTCTGGTTTCCTTCATTCTAATAAGTCAGCTGAGCCGTGTTTAAGTTCATTTCTGTAGATGAGTTGGATTTGGACAGAACTTCCTACAGTCGTTCCTGGTAAGTCGTTCCTGTGACCCCAGAACAAGTGAAGGGAAGCAACGGCCAAACTCTCAACAAGAAAATCGACTTAGGTTGCATTGAGCTCACAGCTTCGGCCCCATTTCTCTAACCCGGAGTGACGGACGGGGATGCTCAGAGGCCTGAGGGATCCTGAATGAGATGGTGTCCTGGAGTTCCCGCCCCCAGAGTATGTAGAAATAACACCTGTCTCCTGCACAGGCAAGGCCAGACGCTACCGCGTATTGCTTTTTTAAAAAAACAGATTTATTGAGAGATGGTTTACACACCATGAAGCTCACGCATGTTAAGTGCACAGGTCAGTGAGTTTTGGTGTATCTGCAGAGCTAGACATACGGCCACTGGCACACACTGCCTTTAGAACGTTCCCCTCTTCTGCCCGCTCCCAACCTCTGCCGGTCTCGCCACGACCTTGGGCAACCCCGAACATCGTTCTGTTCGCCCTGCTGGCTGTTTCCCTTCCAGGAGGATGTCCAGGCGTCGGGGGCTCCAGGCCTGGACTTTGTTGCCTCGGAAGATGGAGTCCAGCCTCTCTCAGAGCTCTCCTAGTCCACACTGGCTGTGCCACGCTCATCCTTGTGTGGGGGGGTTGGTCCGGGAGGGGTGGCGAGTGAGGGCCGTCCCCCCACCCCCAGCCACGCCTGGAAGCTCACCACCTGCTGGTGCTCCCGGAGCTCGCTCGGGCCGGCCCGGTGACCGCCCGCCCAGGGTGCACTGGCCTTTCCCTAATGGAGAGGACAGGCCCCTGGGGACCTCCCTTCCAGGTCCACGTGCATCCTTACAGCTCAGGCCACCCCCGCTCAGTCTGTGCTTCCTGCTGGTCACTCCTCATTGTAGAGCTGAAACCAGCTGGCCGCCGGTGCGGCCCCTGGCTCACCAGGCCTCGGGTGAGGTCGAGGCTGGGCTTGTTAACAACTCAGAGAAACAGCTGGAAGCCACACACCCTATGTCTGTGTTGACTCTGAAGCCAGTTCCAAAGGTCACAGCCTCCAAGCCATTTTATGCTGGGCATGCCAAGGTTGAGGTTTGGGGAGTTCCTATTGGTTCTGTTGAATTACCCCCATAAACTCAGGAGTAGACTGGCCAACAGGAATTGGTTCCCGTCTCACGTCTGTTGCGCAGCGGCTGTTGACCTGTGTTCCCTTATCTACAGGACGAGGGGTGGGTGTGTGTCCCCTGAGGGCCCCCTACCCCTGGGCCTCCCCACGAGGGTCCAGGAGGGATGCAGACTCCGTGGGGTCCCCACCCAGCAGCTGCTGGCCCCCGGGGAGGCCCGGCCCCGCCCCGCCCGGCAATGACTAACCATGTCCCTGTCCGCGTGCAGGTTCGGCCGGCGGCCTGTGCTGCTCTTCTCCATCATCTTCATCCTCATCTTCGGACTGACCGTGGCGCTGTCCGTGAACGTGACCATGTTCAGCACACTCAGGTTCTTCGAAGGGTTCTGCCTGGCGGGAGTGACCCTCACCCTGTACGCGCTGCGTAAGTAGGGGCCTTCGGGGGGGCCTTGAGGAGGTGAGGGAGCATGTGGCCGCCACGTGCGAGGTGCGGGCAGGCGTCCGCGTGCTGTGACTCTGGAGTGCAGACAACGGCATCTTCCACGGCTAGGACCCTGCTCCCGGGCTGTGTGTCTCACCCACCCTCCAGCCTGAACTCCGGCTCAGGCTCAGGATGCATCAGAGCCCGTGGGGGGTTGCAGCGCTGCCTGGAGAAGTGGGGCTCGGCCTGCCATGGGGGCCGGGGTCCTCCGTGTTGACTCGCGTGTTCCTCCAAACCCAGGCGTCCCCGCGCTTGGCTCCAGGGAACAAAGGAAGTGGCTCACGTTTGGTGTGGGCTCCGTGTTCTGATGGATTTCTTAAGAGTTTTCTTTCTTTGTGTTTTTCGCTAAGGCTATACAGAGTCCAAATGTCCCACATTCCCGTGTGGCCTGAGTGGTCTGGACCTGAACCCCAAGCCCTGGTGCCAGGAGGTTTAAGTGGCGATCTTTTCAGGGTGAAGAGACTGTCCTCTGTTGATCCGCCGTGTAGGCGTCCGTGTGGACCCCCCTGTTAGGATGGCCGTCTTGCTTGTTTGGTGTTTTCTAGTACATGGCCACACACCCACAGGGAGAAGGAAGGTTTTAGGTGTGGATGTTTATTTATTTTACAGTTTTACATTTTTTAACCATGGTGTGGAAAGAACCATAAGGAATAATATAAGGTTATTCGTAACATATTTTCCTTTTCTTTCCCTTGGACAACATGTGTAGGATCAGAGATTAAGTAGCAATTTCTAGAGGGGTCGATAAGGATAGCTCTGATTATCTTCAGGGGCAGCTACCTTTGTTTAGCATATGATCCCTTTAAACGACACTGTTAAGTAAACTGGATTTTGTTCCCTGTTGTAGAGGATAGAACTGTGGTCTATTACAGCATGGGTTTACAGTCACGGAGAAGAAGAGGACTGCAGATGTGGTCTCCGGAACCCACAGTCGGCTGTTCTGTTATCTTCTTCTGACGTTGACTTGAGTTGTGGTTTCATAGACATCACCGTTTTCAGGTTATTTGCATCTGTCCTGGCAGCCTCGCTCTGGGGGGTCCTTAGGACTGTGCCTGTCCCGGGTCAGCGCGTTGGTGTGATGACCCTGTGGAGGGCTTGTCTCTCTGAACAGAGGTCTCGGGGTGCGTTTGGAGCCTGAGCGCTTCCGTAGGAGCTGCCTGGGTCCTCCTCCCTCTCTGCCCCCGTGGTCTGCACAGAGGAGCAGCCCCCCCATTCTGGAGGAGACCCCAGCCCTCATCTCGGGCCCGCAGGCCCCAGGTGTGTGCCAGAGTGTGGGGTCTGCTCTCCAGGGCCCCATCCCCACGGGGCTCCAGTTCTCACGGGAGGGCACCATGCTGTGCCTCCTGGAGGGCCCTGTTCTGGGGCAGCTCTGCAGGCTGGCAGAATGGGACAGTGGGCTTCGGGAACTGAGCAGAGAAACAGCCTCTGTCTCAACACCCCGGTGCCTGTCAAACTCAGCACAGAGGACGTTGGCAGAAAAGAGCCTTAAAGCAAAGCTGGCGTATCGGCTTTATCTTGCGTGCCCACTGCTGCCGGAGACCGCAGGAGGCTCAGGGGAACCCTTGGGGCTCAGTGGGAGAGGGGCCCGACCCAGGAGCCCTGCTGGCCTCTGATCAGGAGTGGAGGACCAGCTCTGGCCATCTCTGCAGACTCCCCTGCCTTCACCAGACCTGGAGGAAAACTGCCCCCGACGGCACCCTGCCAGCCTCACTTGGAATCACCGTTGGCCCTATAAACCTGTGACTGTGAAACTGAAGCTAAGGATGTTTTTCAAGAGATTACACGTGAGCTCTTGACAGTGGAAAGTTCTCGTGTACTTCAGAGCCATACCGGAAGTGTGCTTATCCCAGGAAAGTTTTGCTGTTACATAACGGGTGCAGAACCAAGTAACCCAGGTGTCTGCAGACTTTCTTCTCTACAGAGCCAGGTGGTAAATGTTTTATTCCATCACAGGCACTCAGCTCTGCCATGATATCCTATTGTTGTTGTTCAGTCATTAAGTCGTGTCTGACTTTTTGCAAACCCATGGACTGCAGCACACCAGGCTTCTCTGTCCTTCACCATCTCCCAGAGCTTGCTCAAACTCATGTCCATTGAGTTGGTGATGCCATCCAATCATCTCGTCCTCTGTCACTGCCTGTCATCCTCCTGTCCTCAGTCTTTCTCAGCATCGGGGACTTTTCCAGTGAGTCGGCTCTTCACATCAGGTGGCCAAAGTATTGGAGCTTCAGCTTCAGCGTCAGTCCTTTCAGTGAATATTCAGGGTTGATTTCCTTTAGGATTGACAAATGGTTTCATCTCCTTGCAGTCCAAGGGACTCTCAAGAGTCTTCTCCAGCACCAAGCAGTAAATAAGATGTAAATGATTAGGCGTGGCTATGTTCCAGTAAGACCTTATTTACAGAAACAGATGGTGGCTGCTTTGACCAGCGGGCCAGCATATTTTTGCCACCCATAAGTGCTCCTCTTTCCACTGACTGCTGGGGAGCTTGGAAAACCTCGAATCTCATCTAGCATGTGTGTGGGCTCAGCAAGCTGAGCTTTAACTGCTGGCCCCATTCCTAGTTTTATTTGAAATTTTCTGCTTTCATTTTTCCTTTGTCCCATTTTTATATTGCCATAAGTTCAGTGTTATATGACTGTATGGATTTGTGTGAGCAGTCTTAAATTTTCTCTGAAATGACACAGGGCATAAGTAAAGAGTTACATTTTCTTAGATTGAGATTACAAATCAGACGTCACGGCAGATACCACTGTGGTGAGAATTTCCAAGTGTCCACTAGTGGCCCACTAAGTTGATGTGATATGTGATATAGCAAAATTAACATAAAGCAGAAGAGCGTAATTGACTGTCTGGAGTTCACTGAGATAGTATTCGAACAGCGTGAATCAGGGGGTTGACTGAGAGACGGCAGGAGAACCAAGTTTGGGAAGAGAGGCTCAAAAAAGGAAAGAAAGTTCTAAATGGATAGCATCGGGGCGGGCGTGCTGTGTGCTGGGCGGGGGCAGCCCCTCCCCTGGCGATCTTGGAGGAAACAGAGGCTGGGGGTGGGAATTGAGGATCCCAGCCCTCGGTCCACGGGGCTGGTGACACTGAACTTCCTAACCAGTGTGCTTGCTTCGTACACCAGTTGTACCTGGGCTGAGTGAATGCTTGGCAATTTGTTTCGCTTAAAGGAATTTCTTGCTAACCCTGGTCACAGGGTTAAAATATTTCTCGACCGAAGCTCTCACACCGGAGACGTTGATTATTTGGGAGATAAATGTTAAACGGCCCTGACGTTTTATCCCTCCCACTGGCAGGCTTTTATCTCACTTCATGCATCTGCTGGAAAGGTCTGAACTTTCTCAGAAGAGACAGGATGTGGTTCTCTTTTCCGTCTTGCAGGTGCCTGGCATTGCAAGTGGGGAGAGTCTTGGTTTTGGCAGGTCGCGTGGCTTGCAGAGCTCATTGTGAAGGTGGACTCTGTGTTTGAGACGTGTTGCTGATGTGGGAAACTGTGCTTTTATGTGCGGAGTTGCTTAAGGCTTTTTCGGCTTTGGAATTTTTCTATGGTACATTCCAGTTAAACACTCCTTCCTTTAAACTGTAGTTTCCTTAAATTCACCAAAGGGAGACGAGGTTGCGTAATTAGGACATAAACCAGAGACCATTGGCATCTTCCCCAGGAGCCTGTACCTGGAAGCCCGTTGGCAGGAGCCAGAGACGGAGCGATGCTGAACTGCGATCGGTGGCTGCAGGCGGGGTCCGGCCGCCTCTGAGGCTACGCGAGACACTCAAGTAATTTAACCCACCTGGCCTCCCTGGTGGCCTCCTTGTATCTCTTAGCTGTGACAAAGAAGAGAAAAGAGAAAATCTTGACCTAGCCAGGCCAGGGGCAGGGAACCACAGACCAAGGAAAGAGGCGAGCATCCTGTTTCCTTATCTGTCCGTGAAAATAAAGACTCACCAGAGATGAAAGTCTTGCCCATGTGCTTCTCAACAAGGGCAGCCACGACTTGTGGCGTGAATTCTTTCCCCAGGGATGGTTCACCTCACAGACAAGGTGATGCCGCTTTTGCTGGGATGTGTCCTTGTTGAAAAGAAGCGCAGAGAGAAAGCATCTCTTGGAGTTGACTTGCTGTCCATGTGCTGAGTCCTGCGGGAGAGGAATGGTTTTCTTACATTCTCTGAATCGGTCCTCACTGGATCTCTGTCTCTCTCTCCCCACTTGGGGCAACCTCCCCCTCCCCAAGTGGAAGTGATGAAGCCTGCTTTTTGATGGCAGAGACCACACCTTAGTGACGGTGGGTGAATGAACTCTCCTTGTTTTTGTTTTTTGGCCTAACAGCAGTGAGCCGTTTCCTTGAAAGCTTCTCTCAAAGGCTTGGCGGTCTCATTATAATAACCCTCCTCAAACCCAGACAGCTTAAATAATTGGACAAATTTTACGCATAATCAAAGAGTGACCAGAAACTTCACAGGTGGCTGAGTTACTGATTACTTTGCAAAGTGAGAAGCCGAGTCTTAACTGGTGAACAATCTCGGGAGAGCCTCGAGTTTGTTCTGGGCGGGGTGATGTGGCTCACGAGATGATGGGTTTGGCCTCCGACTGAGTCATTTCCACTGTGCTGGGAGATGTTCCTCCTTGCTGTTGTATGTCTTTCTTTTTTTGTTCAAATCTGGGACTTCAGTGCTCCATGGTTCCTTATCTGGTTTTTTTTAATACAGTTTCTTTCTTTTATTTATTTTTGACTGCACTGGACCTTCATTGCTTTTTCGAAGCCTTTCTCTAGTTGGGGGGAGCAGGGACTGCTCTTGGTTGCAGCACACACCCCTCCTTTCGGTGGCTTCTCAGCACGGAGCATGGGCTCCAGGCGCACGGACTCAGTAGTGTGGCTCACGGGCTTTAGTTGCTCTGTGCTGCTTGGAATCTTCCCAAACCAGGGGTAGAACTGGTGTCC